ATCCCCCAAACTTCTCTCAGCCTGCTCAGGCCGCAGTCAGGTCTTCATTAATGTTGCGTAGGCTTGTTGGTGTGGTTTAGGACACAGTGTGTCTTATTTTGAACTATAGAAATGAGTGTTGTCCTGAAATCTGTCTCTAATTTATGTGTATATATGTCACACATGATTTCTGTTGTTTCTATTTATAGATAACTATTAGTCTTGAATTTGCTCATTCAAAATATGTTAATAAATAGAAAAAAAAATTGCAAATATAATCTAGTGTTCATACGTCTGTGTGATGCGCATGTGCATGAAGGTAAGTCAGAATTCAGCCCAAAGCTTGATGCCTAAAATGGCTGCCTGCAGTGTTTAGCTATGCAGTGAAGTGAGTTTTGATCATATATTATCTTAAAGCTCACTGTATGTCACCAAAATGTAGAGCTGGATGTGGTTTAAGCAGGTTGAGCGAAGTTTTAAGGATGTTTTTACAGAAAAGATTTGGGTGACTATTGACTTCTAGGGTTTGTTAGCTACCTTAGCCTTGTAGCTCCAAAGTAAAGAAGCAAAATTTATACAGAATACATGTCTTGGCATATATCTGAGGTAAGTGGAAAATTGTGTAAATTTATTTTTTCACTGAGCCTATTCTTTAATCTGTGACTGGTTCACCAAAGACGTAAACCCAAAGCATGGGTTGTCTCACAGAAATGTCGCTATTCTCTTCTTCTATTGGATAAGCCTTAATTTAGTCTTTGGTCATCTGGATATCTGAAATACAGTTTAGTTATTGGCAATGAAGTAAACACTGCAAAGACTACAAAGCACAAAGAAAGTAAGGAGAGTGTAGAGCAGGACAAGAGAGGTCAGGACTGCATTGTTTGCCAGATAACGTAAAGGGGCTATATCATGGAAAACTGAATTTTTCTCTCTCGGGCCTCCATAAGCATACAGCTTCAGTGTACCTTGGCATAGATTCTAGTCTCTGGAGCTAAACTGGAGACATGGAACTTCCAAAAGATGTTCCCTCAGTTGGTGTTTTGATGATGGTGGTGGACAGCGCTGTCTAACAAGTCAGGCCAAAATCTCCAGAGCAGTTATTGAGTCAGCAGAGCGTTGGTGAATTTTATGCACTATGCTCCTCAGCACTCAGCGACCTGCTCTGTAACTTTACGTGGTCTGACACTTCATGGCTGATTTGCTGTGGTTCCTAAACACTTCCACTTTTCACAGTTGATCGTGGAATATTTAGTAAGGAAAAAATTTCGCAAACTGACTTGTTGCAACAGTGGCGCCCTATTACAGCAACCCTTAAATTCAGTGAGCTCTTTAGAACAACCCATTCTTTCACAAGTGTTTATAAAGGCAGACTACATGGCTAGGTGCTTAATTATATATAACTGTGGCAATGAGACAGAATGAAAACACCTGAATTCAATGATTAAGAGGTGTATCACAATACTTTTGTCCATATAGTGTACATGCATGCACTCACTAAGACAAATTCATTGTATGTGTAACATACTTGACAAAATAAAGTGACTCTTATTCTAAATCAGTGACTGAAAAACCCAGGACTAGAAGCTTTATTCAGGCTTGGATGTGATTACTTCTGGACTAGACAGCAGACAATGGAGACAATGGAGAGAAAGAAAAGATCAGCTGTCGGTCTACATCAGCAGTTACTACTGTCCATGTGTTATTATCAGTGCACACTGATAACTAAAAATAGTCCTTAGCAGCATAACCACAGACTTTTTTCAAGAACTGCGGACAGTGTGTGCAGACTAAAGTGTCTGTGCAGGTAACGTGACTAAGCAGTATGCATAGGTATGCAACAGGTGAGAATGAAGAGTAGGGCTGGGGTAGCAGCTCAGTCTTAATGTTTAAAAGTCCATCAGGCAGATCTGTTCATTCTTTCTGCCTGCATGAAGAAACCGGTCATCAGTCTGGAGGACTTGGCCCGGATGCTCTGTAGCTTTCTTCCAGACAGGAGGGGTGTAAACAGTCTGTGTGAGGAGTCTGAGAGATCCTTCCTGATGCTGCAAGCCTTCCATAAACAGTGTTCAGTGTAAAGGTCCTTAATGGCAGGGAAGCTTGACCCAGTGATGGGCTGGGCATTCTTCAGGACCCACTGCAGTGCTTTCCTGTCTGAGCAGTTTCTGTACCAGAAAGTGATGCTGCAGGTCAGGATGCTCTCTATTGTGCTCCTATAGAAGCAGTTAAGGATAGGCGCATGCTTCTCCACTCTTTCAGTCTCCTTAGAAAGTAGAGGTGCCATTGTGCCTTCTTCACTAAGGACAAGTGTTCAGGTGATCAGGAGAGGTTGCTAGTTACATGCACTCCAAATAACTTGAAGCACTTCCGTTTCTCCACATGTTCATTCAGGTTTGTCCTTTAATTTGTCAGCCTTCTGTATATTAGTCATTGACAAAACAGTCCATTTTATTATAATGGATAAACAATATAAAGTTTTAGAAAAAAAAATAATGCTAAGAAAAGGCGCAACAAGTACAACAAAGATGAAATATTAAAGATTCTGCATTTTTCCCTTTTTTCTATGTTAAATATTGTATATGAATTCTTAAATCCTATCCTCTATTCTTGTTGCTCTTGTTGTGTTATTGTTTGCTATCCGGTGCTGACCAGAGGAGGACGGGTCCCTCTTTTGATTCATGGTTCCTCTCAAGGTTTCTTCCTTTAACTCTTAGGGATTTTGTCCTTGCCACCATTGCCCTTAGCTTTCTCACTGGAGCTTGGATCTATTTTTTCTGTAAAGCTGCTTTGTGACAACCTGTTGTAAAAAGTGCTATATAAATAAACTTTGATTTAAAATTCTGAAGTTCGTGTAAAGATTTTACTTTCACTCAGATTGTTACGCTGCTGCACCATTTAAGGTGGAATGGAAATTCGATTAAGAAGAACTTTAGCTTTATGTTAAGAGGTGGGTATACTTTTTGTCCTTTCTCCTAAATTCTACCCTTAATAAATGAGGTCTATAGTAATAATACAGGATTTTCAAAGATTTTTATAAAAATCCTAAAGTTGAGCAAAATACTCTTAAAAAGATGATTCTTTAGTAAAGACTGTGATTCTATATAGAATCATAAACACTCAAAGAACCGTCTTCATGCTTAAATGGTTCATTGCACGGTGAAACGGTTTTCATCATGGAAGAGGTGTTGTATATAGTTCTATTTTCAAAAAAGTTCTGTATAGCACCAAAAAGGGTACTTCTATTGTAAAAATCTTGACATTGTGACAAGAGCAGAACCCCTTTTGGTGCTAAATAGAACCCATTTCAAAAAGATTCTATAGAACCATATACAACACGTTCTTCATCAATCTGATAAACCATTTTACCATGCAAAGAACCTTTTAAGTATGCAAATGGTGCAAGTAGTTTACTACTGGGTACAGCAGGGGGCGCAACTTCTCTTCACCAAGGGCCAATTTCACATAGACACCTACACCAGAGGGCCACAAATTTTTACATTACATTTGTACATTACATTGCTTTTTGACAATGCCTGTTGTAAAAAGCTCTATATAAATCCAGTTTGACTTGAATCTTGACTATTTCTAGTTCACTATTCAAATTTAAGCAAATTTGTGACATTGACTTTAAGGCTTCTATACGAAAAGGTTAGTCTTTTCTTGGGTGTCTTATTCCTTTCATTAAGGCTTATGTTCTGATGACTTCCAGGTCAATTTGATCTACTCTTCAGAGGCTTTTGCACAACCTTGTGGAGTCGTTAAAGCAAAAGAGGGACAAAGAGGGACTGTACCAAATACTAGGAAATTCTGAAATTCATGTAAAACTTAAAAAAATCACCCAGATGGTTATGCTGCTGCACCATTTAAGGTGGAATGGAAAATTCAGAACATTATGAAAATTAAGAAACTAACTTCAGCTTCATGCTAAGAGGTGGGTCCGGGGAGCCGTGGTGGGCCCAACATTTATTGTCCATTTTTTTTAGTTCCACCTACCGTACTGATGCACTTTGTAGTTCTACAATTACAGGCTGTAGTCCATCTGTTTCTCTACATACTTTGCTTGCACCCTGTTCACCCTGGTCTTCAATGGCCAGGACCCCAACAGGACCGCCACAGAACAGGTATTATTTGGGTGGTGGATCATTCTCAGCACTGCAGTGACACTGACATGGTGGTGGCATGTTAGTGTGTGTTGTGCTGCTGGAGTTTTTGAACACCTCAGTGTCACTGCTGGTCTGTGCAGCAACAGATCATCTATTGTCTCTGACTTTACATCTAAAAGGTGGACCAACAAGGTAGGAGTGTCTAATAGAGTGGACAGTGAGTGGATACAGTAGCACTGCTGTGTCTGATCAACTTGCACAAGTGCAGTGAGTGTATAGTTGAGACTCATTTGTGCAGAAAATGTGGTCCCTAATTTGCAGTTGTATTGATGTTTTAAGCACACACGCTCAGTAATATCTGTTGTGAATTCCCTCAGCCCTGTCTTTGGTTGTCTTGTGAAGGACTGATGCTAAATTGTGCTCAGTAAAGAAGTAATTGTGGTTCTCTTAAATGGCTGCCTCTTCTTTTTTTTTCCTTTTTTTATAGTTCATAGGGAGGCAGTCTGTGTTTTAAACCACATGGACTTGTCTGCACAACCCAAATTAAGACCTGAATGCAGTCTGTGTGGGTTGAGAGACGTTCTGGGCATGTATTTGTGGACATGGTTAGGGAGACTACTGACCTCGAGTGTTTGTTAGCAACATCAGGCTGGTAGCTCCTGTTCAGAACGAAAGAAGCGAAATTTGGACTCCAACTATGTCTTGACCGATGGAATATATTTGGTGTAAGTTTGACCAACTAGCCAACGACGGATTCACCACCCCACCCCCCACCCCCCACCCCAACAAAGCAAACAGAAAAAGCACGCAGGCTGAGAGAGAGAGAGAGAGACGTAAGCACACTCACTCCCCCTTGCATGGGGAGAACACGTGTAAAAACACACATGTCTTACGTAAATCCGTATTGGACCAATCAGGAGCGCAGACTGGGAGCAGGAAGCCGTGACTTTGCGTCGTTATTTTCACTGCTGCTGCTGTTTTGTCCTGAGAGAAGAGAGAGAGAGGAAAAAGCAACAAAAAAACCAGCTAGCTAGCTTACCAAAACAAACTTCGCTCGGACATTTAACCATGAAACACAACTCAAACGTCCCCGCGTTCCTCACTAAGCTGTGGACGTTGGTAGAAGACTCTGATACCAACGAGTTCATCTGCTGGAGTCAGGTACATTCAGCCGTTAGCCAGCGTTAGCAGCTCCGTGGCTACGAAAGCCCATTGAAGTTAGCCAGTCTGCTACCCAGACATTAGCCCGTTAGCCTGTTTAGCTAACTAACAAAGAACTGTAGTTAGTGTTGGTAGTTGGAGAATTTATCTAACATTAGCTTTACTAGCCTGAAGTGTTCTGGGTCGGTGTGTCGTTAACACGTTTCTTAGCTTAGAGCACTTCTGTTTCTGCCAGCGAGCTTAGCTTCGAGTCTGAAATGAATACGTTTTGTTATTTCGCTTATATTGTACCCGTATGAAGCACGGTCTGCAGTAACATTACAGGGGTTAAAAAAGGATTCTTATAAAAATCCCAAAGCAAATTAGGGCAAAATATTCTTTAAAAAGATTGTTCTTCAAGGGTTCTTTAATAAAGACAGTGGTTCTATATAGAACCATGAACACCCGAAGGACCGTCTGCATGCTTAGATGGTTCTTAGCATGGTGAAAGGGTTCTTCAGACTGATGGAGAACGTGTCATATATGGTTCTGTATAAGCCCTTTTTGAAAATGGTTCCATGTAGCACCAAAAGGGTTCTTCTGTTGTTAAAAGCTTGACATCAGAACAATAGCAGAACCCTTTTATGGCTATATAAAACCCTTTTGAGAAAGGTTCTATAGAACCATATACAACACATTCGGCATCAGTCTGAATAACCATCTCACAATGCAGAGAACCATTTAAGCATGCAGATCGTTCTTCTGAGTGTTCCTGGCTCTATATAGAACCATTGTCTTTACTAAAGAACCCTCAAAGAACCATATTTTTTTAAGTGTAGTTTACTACTGGGTCAGTCTACAGCAGGGGGCGCAGCTTCTTTTTACCAAGGGCTGATTTCACATAGACACCAGAGGGCCACAAAATTTTACATTACATTTTTATGGACTTGGCAACATCAGTTTGTAGTATAGTACGCTACTATACTGTTATTACATAACATCAGGTAATTACAAGAAGTGTCTTGGTCAGTGGGAGATATTGCAGCGCTTCTCTGACACTAACTGATTTATATCAGGTTCCAGTGAGGTGGTTGCAAGTCTCAGCACCGCCTGCAGGTTCACATCAGATAATCTTGTTCGCAGGAGAGATTCATTCAGCTTTGTTAAGGAAAACATTTATTCACCTATGTAAGTGCGCCCAAACAGTGAGATCCACTTTTGTGCATTTGCAGTGGATTGGGTCTTTTATCAGGCCTGTCCAGGGCTTGATAAAGCTCTAGCAGTGTCATCTCCCTTGCTTACTTCTCATTGCTGCAGAGCACTGGAGCTCAATCATTTGAATCTGTAATTCACCATGTGCAGTTTTGGTATCTTCAGAGAATGGATCTGCTGGTAGTCTGAGTGCTGCCTGTTCTTTCCTGAACTGCCCAAATCTTGTAGTGAACATGTTTCATGAACTTGTTTCATGTATTCAAGCACACAGCTGTCTCAACTCCAGTTATAGTCCAGTGGCTGGTTGCACCAGCTGTACGAAAGTTCAAACGTAGGCTATTTGTAACATAAGTGTTTACAAAGTTCAGGTTTATACATTACTAAATCCAAACAAGTTGCACCACACAAATTAGTTTTAATGTTGAGCTTAATAGTTAATGTTTCCACCTCCCTCTCAGCAGGTGTGTGTTTTGGGGATACCATCAGAAAACACACAGAATGCACAAAAAAGACCAAAAACATGACTTTTTTGATTAAAGGAAATATTAAAGAATAAACAGACAGTGGCTGTAGATAATGTGTTTTATTCAGTTTAATCTGCACACATTGTTGTCTTCTATGCTGGATATTTTTCCATGGAGTCAGAGCCAACTGGATTTCCGTGGCAGCAGGTTTACTGATTGGTTCTGAACACGTCATCGTTGTGTTAAAGTGACATACGCATTAGTTAGTGGTTGCTAGTTAAGACGTGACTTACTAAAGTTCTTTTTTGTAAGGGTAACCTGTACAGTCAGCACTTTAAACCGGTCAGAGGTTTCTGTTGCTGTTTTGGCATTGTACACGTGTTTGTTATTGTCCATTGTGCTTTTTGCCCAGCTCTTTTGCAGGCTGTCTGTTTAGCTTGGCCCAAATATTGTGTTAAAGAACGATAGCTCTAATAGGCAAAACCAGCAGCCTTTTTTCCTGAGGGTACATAATGTTTGTAGTATGCTTAGGTAAAAAGAAACATTTTTTTTCTTAATTATATTCTTTTGTCTGTGTAAGCAAAGTTGTATGGTGTCTGTGCTATCTCAGTGCGACGTGACCATTTTTTCTTCCAGGAGGGCAACAGTTTCCTTGTGCTGGATGAGCAACGCTTTGCGAAAGAGATCCTTCCAAAATTCTTTAAGCACAACAACATGGCCAGTTTTGTCCGGCAGCTGAACATGTGTAAGTGATTTTCATTGGCCTGCGTGGCAGTCCATTTATTGTAAATGTTTGTCTGCAATTCATTGGAAAGTAATTTTTTTGTTGTTGTTGCTGTTGTTTTTCTTCTCAGATGGTTTTCGCAAGGTGATGCACATTGACACCGGCATAGTGAAGCAAGAGCGAGATGGACCAGTTGAATTTCAGCATCCCTACTTCAAGCATGGCCAAGATGATTTACTGGAGCACATAAAGAGAAAGGTCAGTGGTGTTGGAGTTGAGGTGGGATTCATACATATTCCTTGGTTTCAGTGAAACACGGTGGACACAGTGTAAAGCCGCTTGATTCACTGTGAGGCTCAGCGATGGTGTTGTAGGTTATGACAGATTCACTTTCAGCCTTCTTTATCTACCCGAATTACAAAGTCAGTGTGGATTTGATTTTTGGGCTAGGCTGATATTTGCTTCTAGCATAGTAATGCGTTAATTTACTCCATTCTGAGTTGGCAGTTATATTTGTGGCTCTGCACAAGACGTATTTTTAGTATTAATTCAAAGTAAGGTGAATGGCAGTAAAAATAAAATATTCATATCAGTAGAGATGGGCGATATGGCCAAAAATGTTATCACGATAAGCAAAATTTATATTGTTCGATATCGATACATATCACGATAAATGTCAAATCTAACTATCCTTTATGGTCGGAACACGACAAACACTCAAACAGTGGAACATTTCAAAAAATCTGTCACGGGAGAGTGGGAGAAAGTGTCTGGTGAGCTGTTTTTACCAGCTGGAAAAGCATGGCTATTTCGTAATAGTCATAATTAAAAAAAAAAAACATTATTTTTAGCTGGTGTCGAGCGCTCGGCTACCCCACTACAAATGACATCACAGTATTCAGACACCAGCCAGCGACGACTGGATATTCAATTGTAGTAGTTTAAGTGGGTGAACCGCAAAATATCAACACCAGACAAACAGAGTCCTCCTTTTAGGTACGTTTAAACTGAAAGCGGTGCTTTTGGGTCGTGTTTGATCTACAGTATCATTAATTCGCCGTGTCGTGCAGTGACGAACTACTGCTTTAAGTTAGCCAGCTGCTAAAAACAGCTAGCCTGGAAAGCTAGCGCTCTCCCGCTTTCCAATGCCTCACAGCTTCCTCAGTTTACTTTTGTTTACATCAGGGCCGTAACTGCATGAACCCACTTCTTTCTTTCACTTTCGTTGCTTGGGAATGCACCAATACTAAGATATGACTGTCCAGAGCTGTAACAGCGCTGTAGTTGTGAGGATTGTGATTTAACGCTGCTAAAGCTGGTTAGGTGTTAGGAAAGAGGTGAGTTCACTGTAGGACAGTACAGTTACACCACTGATCTCGTCTCTCACACTCGGTCACAGGAGAACAGATCGCCTGTCGCTCCGCTCAAACAGGGAAGGTATAACTCCGCGTTTCAGCCGTTGCTAAAGACTCATCTTACTCCTGGCCCCCTCCCTCTCTAATCATGTAGAAAAACTCAGAAGTGCGCCCTCTACTGGCAACAGCACAGTAGTGTCGCTTTCCTTGCAGTAGAAAACGCCACCAAGGCTTTCTCTGAACGTGGAAGTGTGAGAATGGTGTATTATATCAAACATTTATCGAACATGTCGTATTGCTCTATCGAGGAAAAGTTATATCGCGATAATTATCGTTATCGTTTTATCGCCCAGCCCTACATATCAGATATACAGAATCTGTCGTAGAAGTTGATCGTTTAATATCTGTATTTACACTAAGGGTGTGTTTACACTTGTAGTTTGGTTCTTTTGGTACCGGACCAAAATACAATTATACATTGTTGCATCGTTCTGGTTTGTTTAGCGTTCACGCTAACATACTTAACATCTAAACAAAGGATGTAAACAAAAGTCATACGAGTAAAAGGTCACAGCTAATTTTATGGCCAGTTTTTATGATGTACTATAACTGTGATCATGTCCACTGCACTTTCTCAATCATACTGTTGTCTGTTCTGTTTTATCTGCCTTATTATATTTGTGCAATAAGGCACAGTACTCCCTACATTACTGTGGGTTTGCTTGGTGCAAAGCAGGGTAAAATCCCTTTAGCACAGCCTTGAATTGCTTACTGTTTTTACAAAGCAGAGAAACATTGGCACCTGAATACATAATATCATGCATGTGTGCAGTAATATGTGTATATCGAGCATATTATACTGACTTCAAATGTCCCTCAGCCTTGTTTTAAAACCAAAACTATCCATTCTGCATTTACCAATTCAGAGCTAATGAAAAGATGATAAAACGTCAAAACAGCACCAAAAACTTGTCTTTTCTATGTACCAAGACGTTCTACAGAGAAGAGGTGATGGTTCATTGTGTCTTTGGTCTGTTTAGACGTCTTTGGTCCGTTTTGCGTTCATACTTAAAAACAAACCTCACCAGAGTTCGTTCTGAAGCAAACTGAGACCGACCAGCTCAGGAGGTCTTAGTCCGCTTATTTAGGGCGCACCAGAATTCGGATAGCAGTGTTCTCACTTACTCTAAGGAAATGCACTAACAGAGTAATCACACCAGGATTCGTTTCAATCACACCAAAGCTGCCAAGTCTGAACACAGCCTAAAGTGCAGTGAGTCCAAAATATCAATATTGGCATTTTTATAAACAGATGTAGAGATGGAAATATCATTTATCATCATCTGCCAACAACAGGCCATATTTATCTTCACAGAATAAGAATGTTGATCTAGGCTTAGTTTGTCTTTTACAGAGCATTGAATATAATTAAATGAACAGATAATACCTGATCTTAGATAAGTATTCTTACTCTGAAACACTTGATAAATGTGGTGAGTGTTGATGCATCCCTGTATAACAGCTGTTCATGAATATGGGACTTTTAAAAAATTAATTTCTTGTAGTAAATGTGAGTGTAAACAAACAGCCCCTTTTTAAAAAGCATTCTGTCCACTTGGGCCCATTCCATATATATACAGGTTGGCTAATATTGACAGCTTGCAGTCTTACTGGTATTGATGAATAACCAGTATCCCAGATCACTCACTGATCATAAGTAGGGATGTGCATTCCAGCTCATTATGATATTCGAGTATCTGAAGGAGTTAATGAACGGTTATCCAGTTCACTGTTGATAAGGAAAAAAGGACAAAAAAGTACCAAGGCTGAAATTAATGTACGGCTAGAGACTTTCTATTTTGGGGGACAGCTCTGGTTTCAAGAGGCTAAAAAATCAGTAGCAAGTGTAGTTTATTATAAAAAAAAAATAAAAACCTGAGGAAAATCTTTTTATGACAGTAACAGAGAGAGTAACAGAGGCTGCCTCATCTGATCTTCAGGTGAGTTAATGAGTAACTGGTACAATATGGGATGCTGACGAGGATTTGTCATCTTATATGAGGTTATTTCTTCTCAGTGGATGATGTGCCAGCATGATAGTTTAATATAATTTAATATTAAATATATTTCTGCTGTTTCTGGACCTAACATCAGCTATAGTAGTTTGCCTAGTTAGCAATAAAACTGTGCTACATCTGTCTTCTCAGTCGCGTCCGTGTTCATGTTTAGGTGCTTGTGTTTCAGCACAGCACAGTGTAATATGCATACTTAGATATGAGCAAAACACTAAGATTTTATAGTTACCTATTAAAACATAAAAGTAGTGTTTCACTGAGTTTTTGTTCTGTATAGTTTTTCTCTGTTTTCTCATGAAGAAATGTAACGAACAGCGATGTCAGTATTTGAATACTGGCACCTTGAGAGTACTTGTGCACAATACCAAATTAGCAACTTGTTTTGGCATGCCAGGAAACCAAAACCGCAGATAGTTTTGGGTAGCTCCACCCCCAGTGCTGCAGTGTTTATTTCAAATTATCATGTGACTTTTTTCTGTGTATTTGAGTTTAAGGAATGAGACAATTCAGAATGAACAATATAAAGCACTATTTAATGAAAACTCTTGGGGTATAAAATTTAAATCTAGGACATTAATATTAAATTACATAGTTTGATATTATTGGTTATCTGAAGTTTTAGCCCCATAAAATCTGTTTTGGCCACAAGTTTCATATTGATTTGTCCTTAGTTTGCACACATTGGTCAGATAATTCTGGAATCAGGAGTTCAAACTAGTACTTACCACCCAGTACAATAATCTGTCTAAACTATTAATGATATTTTAAAATGGCAGCTAAGTGTATTACCCTTGAGCCAAGTGTTTCACATGGAAATTAAGAATTAATTAATAAACAGAAATCACCGGTACAGACCTTTGAGTGTAGTATTGAAGTCAGTGCCCTGCTACTCAGAATGAGGCAGGAATTAAAGCAGGTTATGTAGCTTTTAAAACTGTATGGGTCTTCGGAGAGACTTTACATTGAAAATTTTACATCCAAAATTGTTAAATGCTTCAATATTCCATCCATGTTTTAGGTGTCCAATGCCAGACCAGAGGACAACAAGCTGAGACAAGAGGATCTGTCCAAAATCTTATCCAGTGTTCAGATTGTACATGACAAGCAGGAAAGCATGGATGTCAGGCTTGCCACTTTAAAACGGTATGTGTAGACTCCTTTCATAAAATTGAATCAATTTTTGTCTGATATTTTGTTCACACACTGTTCTCTTACTCTGCAACTTTCGATTCTGTGCATTTTATTTAGTGAGAATGAGGCCCTGTGGAGGGAGATGTCAGACCTACGGCAGAAACATGCCCAACAACAGCAAGCCATAAAAGAGGTACATTAAAAATTCCAGATTGTACTTTTGCCATTGTTGTGTAGTGTTGACAGATAGAAAACAAGTAATTGAGTGCTACATAATACTTAATTTTTAAAACATGATTTATATGATTAAGGGTGGGCAATATAACAAAAATATAATATCATGATGCTTCAGCACATTTTCACGATACACAATATGCTTCACAATATTTAGTTTTTTGAGAAAATTTGTAAATTCAGTTAAAACAGACAGAATAGAACCTGTAGTGCTATTTGGTGCACTAATTTCAGTCAAACAGGCCTTTTATGGTCACTTTGTAATGAACATGTAGTTGGTCAGCGTTCTTTAAGTACTGAGGATATCCACAGTATGCCCAGAAAAGTGTGTTGTAACATAGTTTATCATGATAACAATGAAATATTGTCATATTGCCTACCCCTATGTATGAATTCAGTTTTAACATTAGTGTGTCTTTTTTCCATGTTAGCTTGTACAGTTCATCATCACATTGGTCCAGAACAATCGCATGCTTAACTTGAAACGCAAAAGGTAAGATTTAATGTGTCAGGTTTCGAAGGGTAGGTTGGGGGTCACACATGTATTACTGTATTGCTTTGGAATACAAACTTGTATCTCTAAAATGGTAACTTTACAGGAGAAGAAAAAAAGCATTCTTAGTTTTAATTAATGTTAATGTAAAAAGATTTTATTCCAAGTAAATTTGGTCTAGTTCATCATTAAATGTTCACATAATTTAAAGGCGTAAAAAAGAAATAAATAACCAAAAATTGTGAAGTTACAGTGACCGCATCAATATGTTTGAAGATGATTGATCTGCTTTCCCTTTCTTTTTAAACAAGGCCACTGTTATTGACCAGCAATGGAAAGAAGTCAAAATACATCTCCCAGATCTATGAGGAGCATGTGGACCATGGCAAGGTATGTGTGAAGGGAGTGGTCCTTGATAATGAGCCTTGTCATTTTTACAATCTTTTTCAAGCTGTACGCTGTCTGCTGCATCTGGGTCGTGCACTGGATTACCACAGTGATTGATGTACTTAGCAACGTGCTGAAGCAACTGCCCATTGGCTTCTGTTGTTAGTGTGTTTTGAGTCATCTGGATCGTATGTTCATTCGTACAGGGAATCATGTTGAAATGATTGTTTGTGGTAATCAACAGTATGATGCGGTTGGAACAGATAGAGAATAGTTTGAAAAAAGGGCTGTTATCTATCACAGTGCCAGGTAAAGGTCGGCGATATGACAGAAGTGTGACATCATAATACTTGAGGCCAAGGTCTGATAGGTTGGAACAGAAAAAACACTGGACTATCAAAAACTGAATACATTTATTTTTATGTAGCATTTCTCACACTGCACTGGACAAAATTGCAAATAAACAGGACTGCTTATACTATCTTTGGATGAAACATGCAGTATACCCAGAAAAGCACATTGTCACATAATTCATAATGGTAAGTATTGTCATATTGCCCACCCCTAGTGTTAGGGTTTCCCTGCCTGATTCCAAGATACAACAATTAGTTAATCTGTGTTGAGTGCTGTGTCTTGAGGACTAGCACGACTTCAGAATGCTGGATGAATTAGTAATTAGATTAGAAGCAAAAGTTTAAAAATACCTGATTGTGGCTTTTAGCCAGGAGACATCAATTCTGGTCCTGGAGGTCGGTATCGAGCACAGTTTGGTGACTCCCTTGATCCTGCCTTTTTCTGTCTCTGTAATAGATTTCAGGCTTGTTCCTGGATATGGCTTAAGTTGTGAGAGTCATTATCTGTTATGTTCACGTTGGTGGAGGACTGATTTATTTTTGTATTGATGATAGCTAACTAACTAAAACACAGGCTGTTGAGTCACTCCCAGCTCTTTCTGTTAGTCTGCAGTCAATGGGATCAACGGAGTGAAGACCAACTCGGACATTTCTGATGATGTCATCATCTGTGACATTACTGATGATGCAGAAGTCATAGTGGACGCATCGAGACCGGCTGATGAAGGGTAAGTCATTGTGTTGGAAATCTTTTCCTGCAAATCACCACATCAAGGTGAAGTTCAGTGCAAGTGAGAGCAAAAACTATCCTGTTTGAGCTTTTTGATGGACAGTAAATAAGAAGTGTAAGTAAAACAGAGCAGCGTTAGCTCACAAACCCATGTGAAAATGTTTTACCTCACTGTGACCCATTGAGCATGTTTACATGTTCAGAATAATCTGATAACTGCAAAAATCAGATCAGATTTTTGTAGTAATTCCTCCAGCACTTTTACATGCACTTAAGTTATCTAATAATGGAAATACTCTAGATTGTGAGTCAGAAAGTAATCAGATTTCTTTCTGAATCCATGGTGCATGCATCTCTACAGTTGCTGAAGATGGACTTGGATGAAAATTGATGGGCTTTACTCCTTCAGGGGCAGCTCTTCTACATCCACTTGTGTTTGTGTACAAATGTAGAAAAGATTAACCAGATAAACACCTGATACCACATTAATAGTACGTGCTGAAGAGGATTTTAGCTAAAACATTTAACCTTTAAAAACTTTCTTTAGACTATTTATTTTTCACTATAAATTTTTACATTAAACTTAAGACTTGCAGTGGCCCAAATATTTTAGGCATTGAATGTCGAGGAAGAGTGCCTCCATACTTAAGAAAACTCACAAAAAATATAACTTGGGATTATTTCTATGCTTAGTTTTATAGTAGGTAAAAGTCATTGGAATCTTTACACACACACACACACACACACACACACACACATATATATATGTATATATGTATGTATGTATGTATGTATATATGTGTGTGTGTGTGTGTGTGTGTGTACTGTAGTGAGATGTTTGAATGTAATTACTTGGAGAAGCTGCATCCATTTAAATGGGAGAACTGTACATTCCTATGTGGTTCACCAAAAATAGATTCAAATACCATTGAACCACATCTGTTGCTTGATTTCGGAACCTCATAACCATTCTTTCATTCTGTACCTAATGTGGAGTACAGAGATAAAACAACAAAACAGCAAACGTCATTGTCAAATTATTTACAGACAGACTGCAGTTGTAACACAGCAGTGTGAGCTCTAGTCAGTCAAGGACACAGCTCCAGCCCTGAAACTCACTTGTGTTTTGTCAACATATCTTTCTGTAGGGACATTGAAATTGTTGAGCTAAACTATGACAGCAGTTCACAGACAGAAAAGACGAGCACAAAGGAAAATACACCAACAGACTCTACGATTCAAGAGGAAGCAGAAATGCCAAAAAGCATCATCAACACCCAACCAACCAGCAGCGCCCTGCGGTTAAATAATTTGTCAGTCCTGAGTCAGGAAGATCCTGTGAAGATGATGGACTCTATCCTCAATGAAAGTGGGACCATTTCACAGAACATCAGCCTTTTGGGAAAGTAAGTAAGAGTTTGCTTCATCCAAGTGGAGATGTGGAGTGTACTGCACCACATTTGACTTTCAGGATTGTTTTATTGTACTACAAATACATAAAGGATAGTAATGATCAACGTAATAACGTTTTAACATTTACATTCCAGAACTAATCATGCAACGTCAGTATCTGACCTCACTAATGTTCTTGTGAATGCAATGAAATCCTCACAGCAGCATCTAGTTCAATGGTTGGCAACCCAAATATTAAGAAGACCCATTTTGTCCTTTCAACAAAAATCAGACCACCTTGGGAACCACAATATTTTATGTCTGTTTTACCATCTTGGCTGTAAATGTGTCTCAGTATGTGCTACTAGCATAGGCTAAAAAAATATAAAGGAAAACGCAGACTTACTTTGCTCTGCTCTAAGCTTTAGCTCAGCTATAGCCACTTTTGTCACATCTCCGGCAGGAAGCTGGAGTAGCTAGAACAGTTTTTTGTAAAATGTCTCTTAACATTCGACTTTTTATTAGACCAAAGTCAGCTTGTTATTTGTTACCTGTTCCACCTTAAATAGAGCCTGAGGCGCCAGAATGTAACTGCCGCACCCTTTAATCTGGTGTAAAGCCTTCCAAGAAGAAAAAAAGTCTGTTACTGGCTCAAAGGGGGCACAAACTCCCTATTAATACCCTTGATTTTAGAAGAAATGTTGAATGAGCAGCTGTCTACAAACTTTGGTTGTATCATGTATATCTTCAAAAGCTGCATTAGTGAGTCCCGTTTGTTACTGTGGTTGAAGCGGCTACACACTGTTGTCTCTCTCCACGTTAGCAATTATTATCAATACCATCTATTCAAAAGTCCGATTTTCCACAAACAAGCCTTCCCTTAATATGCTCTAGGTATTGTGATCATTCAAACTAGCATTATTTACAGTGCCTCTAAGAAAAGATGATCTCTCAAACAGGGGAGAGCTGATGGACTATTTGGACAGTATTGACTGCACTTTGGAAGACTTCCAAGCCTTGCTGTATGGAAAGCAGTTCAGCATTGACCCCAATATTCTGGAGGTATGTGTCAAATCGGTCATTGTAGTGGACTGGATGAGTTCATATCAGGCTAATGAACTATCTTTTGTGTTCTAGTTCTTTTTAAAAGAATCTGTTAATTTTTCTTAGATTTACAGTTTCATATTGTATACAGATCTTATCTTTCAACACCTGCACTGAAGTGAGTCCTGTCCGACAGGCACGTTTTAACGAAGTCTGCTGTATTTGGATCAGGCTTAATTGTTCGGCTTAGAAAGCAGTTTATTTAGAAGGATGTGCCACTACATCCTCCCACTCTGAAGAACTTCACATGACATCCATGTTCTGTTTTGTTTTTTGCCTGCAGTCTTTACCACAGGGAACCAGTTCAAATGGAAAAGACAGCAACCTTCCCACTGGAAACAAGACCGAAATTCAGAATGCAGGTAATTTTGTGTGTGTTTGTGTATTGTGTGTGTATCACACATTATACACTCAATGAGCACTTTTTAGGAACACATAACTTGTATCTACATTTATTGCTTTTTTTGGTTGCCTCCATATAGAAGCACTTTGTAGTTTTACAATTACAGACTGTAGTTCATCTGTTTCTTTGCATAATTTGTTATCCTACCTTCACCCAGTTGAGCAGTTGTCAGGACGACCACAGAGCAGGTATTATTTGGGTGGTGGATCATGCTCAGCACTGCAGTAACACTGATGAGGTGGTGGTGTGTTAGTGTGTGTTGTTCTGGTACAAGGGGATCAGACACAGCAGTGCTGCTAGAGTTTTTAAACACTGTGTCCACTCACTGTCCACTCTATTACGCTCCTGCTTTATTGGTCCACCATGTAGATGTAAAGTGGCAGACAGTAGCTCATCTGCTGCTGCACAGTTTGTGTTGGTCATCCTCTAGTCCTTTGTTAGTGGTTACAGGACGCTGTTGACTGGATATTTTTGATTGGTGGACTGTTCTCAGTCCAGCAGTGACACAGTGTTTAAAAACTCCAGCAGCACTGCTGTGCCTGATCCACTTGTACCAGCACAACACACACTAACATGCCACCACCACATCAGTGTTACTGCAGTGCTGAAAATCATCCACCACCCAGATAATACCTGCTCTGTGGTGGTCTTAAAGGAGTCCTGACCACTGAAGAACAGGGTGAAAGGGTGGGTAACAAAGTATAGAGAGAAACAGATGGACTACAGTCTGTAATTGTAGAACTACAAAGTGAACTTATATAGTAAGTGGAGCTGATGTACGGTTGCTAAGATTATATTTTTGCAATTCTTTTTGATAAATAACTGTTCATTTCAATTTTTTTTAACTGATATATCTTTATAATTAGAAACATCAGAGAAATAAAATCGTAATCTATAGTCCATAAATATGACTCAGATGTGTAAATATGAACGTAGTTCGAATTGTTTGGGGTAGTCAGAAATTGGAGCAACTGTTGTCTAAATTTTTTTTTACGTGGTAAAAATATGGTAAAAAATATTACATGTTGAAGTTTTAGCATTTTTTTTTAGTTCACAGTAAGTAATAGTTTGTCGTGACCCACATCAACAAGTCTGTACAACCTTAAAGAACACCTTAGGTGGTTTGATCAGAGTGAGAGAAGTTTGGGGGACGAATTTACAGGAAACGTTTGCTATCGACTTGCAGTGTTTGTCAGCAGCATTAGCCTCGTAGCTCCAGTTTTGTGTTATGGACACAAAACATTAGTGTCTGTCTTGGCTTATCAACTGCATTAGGGGTGAGTGAAAAATTGTGTAGATTTGATTTTTTGACAAACCAGTCCTTGAACCACAGTTTGGAATTGGATTAGGCTTAACAACCAATATGAATCTATTAAAACGTACCTTGTTCAGCACCAACACTGATCAGATCAGGATGTGCATAGTCATTGTCTGTGATTGGTATAGGTAACATAAATGGTCCATTCATGGAGAGACCTGCAGCACTTTGAAACAAGCTCATCGATAGTTGCAATGAAAACGGAAATGAACTCAGCAGTGTTGTAACCCACCAAGACTTTCCAAGAGTTTCACAACTTCACATTTGATCTTCCCCTCAGACAAACAGCTGATTCAGTACACCAGCTGCCCCCTGCTGGCCTTCCTGGATGGCTGCAGCCCTCTGCCCTCAGGCCCTGAGTCCCAGCCTGAAGACCTGAGCCAGTCTCTGCTGAAGCACAACTGTGAGGAGACCATGGACCTGCTGGACACCAGCCTGGAGAAAGAAAAGATCCCCCGCAGCACAATGATCCGCCTAGAGCCCCTCACGGAGGCTGAGGCTAGCGAAGAAACTCTCTTCTACCTGTGCGAACTGGACTCACACCTGCCTTCTGCTGATCAGTCTCCACTGGAAGTCTGATGGGAGATCGCCAGGCAGGAGATAAAAATGACTAGACCTTTTTTTGTACATATTCATCAAAATGATGATCTATTTATTTGATGGAATTGTTCTGGTACGTTGCTGGCCGCATTCAAGTATGACATTCCATCATTTCATGTATGCTTCCTGTTAGTGTTACACTGTTAAATGTCCACAAGAGGATGTGGCTGCAATTATGTTGCTGGTTTACATTGCAGCAAGTTTGTTATGTGATTTATTTTTTTTTCCCTTCTTTTTTATATCAATTAATTCTGTGACCAATGAGATTTGTGGGTAATAGTCCTGTAAGTGCCTGCGTTCAGATCTCTGTACATACAGTACTCTCATTAGTTCCATAATATTCTGGAAGTAGAGTGGTTTTGCCTTTCTTGTAAGCTTTGTCAGTATCCCAAGCTTGGTAATCCCATTAAAGAAGTTGCAAGAATTTGGACCCGTTAATCTTCCTACTTCACAGAGCCACACTAGGGCTGCACAATGTGACCTTTGTTTATTTCTGTAATGTCGACCAAAGTTCGTACTATTTGGCTCGGGCATTTTCACAGAATACAAAGTTATTCTCACAGTGTCAACAGTCTTGATCGAGAATGGAAAACTAATAGAGTGCTATGCAAAAGCTGATCTGGTCAAATGACAATGTTTTGTTGATCTAAATTTGAACTTAAATTTGGCAATTTTTGCCAGTTTAGTCCATAATTTATAAGTACTTAATTTTAATATATTGTACAAAAAATAAAATATAAAATGTCAGCTTTTGCACCGGCTACATTTTATGTTTTTTCCTTGGTATGTTCAATTCAGCAAACAGTAGTTGTGCATTAGAATGTGCAGAGGTGTTTTCTCTATAGAGGATGTGTACTATTTTTCAACAAAACTTTTGATTTGACCAACGGTTCCCAAACCTTTGCATATGACTGTACCCATCAATGAATTTTTAAAAATATTCACCAAGCCCTGACTGCTTTTTCAGAGGTTTGTAACATGAAGGCTTTAAAAAATCACACTGACCCCAATATTCTAGAGTTGTGTCCAGTCAGTCATTACAGCAAATTGTGCTGTGACTCAAGCCATTTATGTAGATCATTTTAAAATAATATAGGCCTGTCTAATAGTTAAGTTGGCTTGACAAAGTTTTATTACTGTAAGCTTTTTAATTTTTGGTACTTTATTTACGGGTTGCAAGTTTTTGAGCCAGAGCCATGACACTGCAGGATCATGGGGCCTATATGGGAATGAGGCTCTTGTGCTTTTGGGACTGTATGCTTGTACCGTGTAGACTTGTCCAAACTTCCCCCCCCTCCCCCACAATCACTCACAAAAGAAAACAGTACTCGGGTGGTACCCTCAAGGGTACATCTTCAGTGCCATAATTCATTGCAAATACATTTTCTAAGTTGTATTCACTCTGCACACCCAGTTCCATCTCCAGCTGTTTTAATGTTTTTTTTTAACATTAGGCTATTAAAAGGTACAAATATGTACTTTACCTTGGGAGGAAAAACTTACTAAAGGTACATAAACGGACCTTATAACTGTTGTTGACCTTTTCTCTGACAGTGTAGACAATACAAATCATAAGAGTCACAAATGACCCTTCTTATACTGCCCTTTAAAGACACTACTTACAGACTCAAATACACACTAGCCCACATGTACACAAACATATTAGCAACCACCTGGGATAACTTAACAACTGCTTTGTCAAGCCAACCTACTTCCCCCTTCTAGTTTGATAACGTTCTTAATATATTGCAAAGGATAAAGTACTATGTCACATTATAATTGTAATATATTTTATCCATGCTCTGTAGTCCTCAGACACTGCTACACTGCTTGCATGACACAGTCACATTTAGCCAAGCTGTCTTATAAGGAGCATGGAAAACATTCATATTGTACAATTTATTGGTCTGTGGTTATTTACAGCTGCCACCAATCAAAGCTGTTAACATAGTAAACAAGGGCCAGTGATGGGGTTTTAAACCTTTAATGATTAAGACAAGATAGTTTACAATGCACCTGTCAAAATGACCAAAAAAAAAAAACACAGCAGCATCAATGCTTATTACATTACTTAACAGCAACTACTAGACTAATAACGTCTGCAGGCTGGTAACATGTCTAAATGGCATAGGAGTATGAAAAAAACTACAGGTCTGAAAACAGAATACATCAAACATCTTAACATGAGTTATCAGATAAGAAAAGAATCAGTGCAAAACATTTTAACACAAGAATTAAAAAGTCAAAAACTCAACTAACCTGTGCAAGTTGCAAAAGGGTTAGCACTGTGGCATTTTACAGTCCTAACTGAGTAGATCCGTTAGCATGCACAAAACCAGCAACACAAGCAGCAACACTGATGGGGAAAGTAGTCTGTTAATATCCATCCACTGATCATGTTACTGAAACAGCATGGGTTCACCATTAACATGAGCTCTATGGTCACATAAATCATATCCTAAATGTCATGTTATGATGGAGATCATTAGGCAGGAAAAAGCACAGAAAAAATCTAAACCTCTACTTCAATGATGTTCATGCTAAAGCAGCAATACTGAATTTTTTATGCCCATTCTACAGGAAATTACTCAAGATTTACGAACTAAAATCATGTGCATTGTTTCTGTCTTCGCAACAAAACCTATGGCGACCATTGACAATATGGACAAGCTTACTCACTCATAGTAACTTCACACTTTTTTTTCCAAGAATACATTTGTTGCCTCCCTCCTGATCTTTCTTTGGGATGTTCACGTACATAATAATCCCACCAAATTGAGCTAATTGTTCTGACCTTCTTTTATAACATACACCACAAATAAATATCACTACATAACATGCAGTAGTTAAAACAAATGGGAGGGCTAACCACAGAAGGAATGCACTGACTTCAGGTATTTACAATGACATCACTTGCCCACCCTATACAGGTGGATATTCACAATAACGATGGGCAAGGTTCACGCAGAGCTTTCCTCTAGACGGCTCGTCAGTCGAAGTCACGGTTGGTGAGGACCAATGGAGCCACCAGGGTCCACACGTAGAGAGAGATACAGATCCAGCTGGATGAAATCTTCACCCACACAGATGGCCACTTGCTAGTCATCACCTCGTAGTTGGAGTCAGGGCTGAAAATATCAAAGCACAAACTGAATTTAAACATAAGCCCACAGTAAACTCAGTAGATCTCAGTGTATATTGCAAATGTATATTGCTAGTAAAGCTGCAACAATTGACCAAAGTTGGTTAGTTATCAGTGATGTGAGGTGGTTTGTTTAAAAACAAAAACACTCTGTAATGCTGTATAATGTTCATATGATACCAACTGTCATTTTGACAGACTGCAATACACTACAAGTAGTGCAGGAGGCTCCTATTGAGTGCGTTTACATGCACTCAATAAGACGATCATAATCGGATTTCTGCAGTTCAAATGCTCATGTAAACAGCATACTCTGATTTCTTAGATCGGAGTAAGGTCTAGAAATCTGATGAAGAGAGCTGGATTTCAGCTCAGTAATCAGATTTCTCAACGCATAAATACTCTTACTCAGATTTCTTTCAGATTTCTCAGTCTGCACATGTGCGAAAACAGGCCGCGGTACCGAAAATAAGCGAGCACCATTGCCGCGAGACGGCAGGAAACGTGCTTGACGAAATGAAGGATTTAAATATTATTCATCAAGATGATGTGTGTTCATATTTTGAGGTAAAGTGGCGCAATGTTTAAGCTGCAGCATGAAGTTTGAGTTTTTACATTAGGTTTACATCCCGTGTCTTCTGTGAGTTTATAGGCTATCTGCAAAGCCGAAATCTGATTACTGCCTGACTCATTTAGACCTAGAGTTTCCCCATTATCTGATTACTCAGGTGCATGTAAATATGTTGATCGGATTACTGACAAAATCTGATTTTCTGCGGTTATTGGATTATTAAGTGCATAAAAACGCACTAGATGTTTCGTTGCTCCATAATAGATTTTTTTTGCTGCACGGATGTAAAAATTGTATGATGACTTATTTGATAAGTTGATTAATCAAAAACGGTCGATAGATTAATCAATTATAGAAATTAGACATGCACTGAAATTTTGGCCACTGAAATTGTTTGGCCTAAAATGGTCAAAAAAGGCACTTCTTTTTTTGAGCAAAAAGAAAAAATTAAGTAGGCCTACAACAAATCTACTTTACAAATAACTTCAATGGTAATGAAAATGAGAAATAGCGATTAACAAAACTCTGTTTCCTTAGCTCTACTTACTTCTATTTACTTCAAATTGCAACAACAAAAACAGGGAAGTAATTATACTGACAATGTAACTGAATTGTCACCACACATACCTGTACCAGTTGGTCAAAGTCATCATGATGTAAAGAGAGGCCAGGAACAGCATGAAGTGGAAGAAAGAGTAGCTGTATGTGACACCATCCTTCTCATTGTCAACGGCACGGTTTGCACCGTCTCCCTCATCAAAATTCTCTGGAGCAGGACCGTCCTCGATCAGAGCAGACTCATCACTGGTCAGGGTGAGCTTGTTCACTTGGGTGTTGTTGGAGTTGCGGATGCTGAAAGAGCATGAAAACTGATAAACAAAACGGCCTTACAAATAGGAGAGTAAATATGTATTGATGCATTATGACACAGTGATCTGAAGCTGACCATTCAACTGTATTGATCATGAAATGTTAGAAGTGAAATGTTGTAACACTGGTAAGCACACTTTTTGTTTTAAGAAAACTCATTTATGCTTTATATACTTTTATAATTTATGTTTTACATACTCTGGCATGCTGAATTTAAATATGCTGATGTTTGGGGGAATTTTGAGAAACTACAAAGCAGAAAACTGCTGTGAAATATTAAGTGACATATGGACATCATACAGAGCTATGAGGTATAAAAATGCATTTTCTTCTACAGTCTCATCTGGATTTCTTTACTGAGAATCTCTGCTGTTAGTGACAACAAGTGGTTTCACAAAGATATTTTCAACATGGAAATGCAGTACAGAGCAGAGAGCTCTATTATGTGTACTAACTGCTGTTGGATCATCAAACGAGACATTTCAGAACAAAAACAGAGCAGGGAAATGCAGCTTTTAAGTAATGCAATTACGTCCTGTATTTTAACTTACATGTATGTTTATTAAAAACATTATATCATTTGTCACTGGCTGATAGGAAAATTCCTCTGTGATAAGAAAAATATAAAAATATTAGAAGTCAGTGCAAAATATACTATTAGAATCACCATCTTTAGTTCATTTGACCAATACGGGCAATTAAAGCAGAGCTCATTGAGATCGATCAGTCACCTGTTTAATTTTAAGGGAAAAATTGGAAAAACATGAAAAAATGAATTATGACTGATTTTGGTACATAAAACCACACAAACATTACATGTGGACTGCAGGGACAAAAATAAAATACAAGAAAAATGAAGGATACGAGCCCTTTAAAATAATTTTTAATTGTACCAAAATACTCAAAATTGAGAAATGCAAGATTTTACGATGCATTGTACTTCATGTTGTTGGTGTTGATTTGTTGTGAGGTCAGAGATTTATATCCTTGTTAGTCATGACAAGACAGACACAGAAAAACAGAGTCTTACCTAGAGTACAAAACACACAACAGGAACAGGATCAGTCCCACAATGCCCTGGGCATCCCACCACTGGACCACATGGTCCTTGCTAGCTGGGGCGGTGCTGTTCAGGCCAATAATGCCCAGCAGACTTGGGTTGCATTTACGGTCTGAAAAAAGCCAGTCATTTATTCAGTGTGCATATTGAGGTGGTAAGAAAGTGTTTTATCTGCAAAATGATTACTTTATAGAAGAGAAATAAAAAGATCTTAATGTCTGTAAATTGAACTTAACAATTCAATGTTTTTCTTAAAATGTATGTCATTAAATTTTTCATGCAAAGTAAAAGGCAGCTAGTACTGTCAAATGTTACACTGGGAAATATCTCAGGGTTCTTACCAGGCTCATTGGTCATGGCAGACCAGGTCAGATACATGGTGTAGAGGGTAACAATAGAGGACTGCAGGAGACCAGACCTGGGCTGAGACTCCTGAATTAAGGGAGGAAAAAAAAAGATTTGAAAATGTGATAAATACAGTTGTCTGCAAACGGTTGGGAGCCCCTGGTCAAATAAGACATTTCATTGATTTCCTAAGTGGAAATAAGTTAACACATCCTCTACAGAGGACAAAACTCTGCATAATTTCATGTACAATTAATGTTTATTTGCTGAATTAAACATTTTGGAACAAAAGCTAAAACAGAAATTTGGCCAGTGCAAAAGTTAGGACACATTTTATATTTTTTCAATATGTTAACCAATAAATAGGAATTGTGCAGTAACATTTGCAGAAAATCACCATATTTAAGTTTGTTCTCTGTACAGGACCTGTTACAAATCAACAAAACATGTCATTTGACTGGAGGTGTTCAAACTTCTGCTTATGACTATATACATGTTGTATATAAGCAGTTGCAGTAAAGACATGTCCTCCATGGCTAAACAGCAGCAATAATACTACACCTTTCTTGTGTGTATTTTTTAACATTACTGCACAAAGCAAACAACTGGATAACTAAATACAAAATCTGCTGAACACAAACAGACTCCATGACGTTTTTCATCAGAGGTTATTACCTGAATTTTGGGCAAGATGGACATAATGGAGGCGCCCACACACAGCAGCATGTTGACACTGATGAAGGCTTTGTTCTCTGTGCAGCCATCGGGGTGGGTATAGTAGACATAGAACATAACCAGGGAGACCAAAGACAGGGTGTAGTTCACAGTCGTGGCAGAGAGAAGCGCTGTGGAGCACAGGAAGTAGAACAAAGAGGCCTTTTAACTGGCGCTGTTAACCACTAGACCGAGTTTACTTTCGCTGTTAAAGCTCACGTCAACTCTGCGTGACACCTTCAAAATTATTCACGACTTGTTACATCTCTTATATTCTTACAGTTTAACTTCTGCATAACAACAAGCAGAAACAGAATTTTCCATTGCTTCTCAGAACTCCAGAAGTACATTTGGAAACAGCCCCCTATTGAGTGCTCACAGTCAATTCTTCCTTGTGCCCACCTGCATACCAGCAGCGAGAATTCCCCTCCTCCATCTTTTCCACCCATGACTCATTCCAGGAGTGAGCAAAGTCAATCAGAAGCACCAGCTGAATCAGAATGAAACAGAAAGCGCCAGCCATCCCAATGTAGAACCACACTAGAGGATAAGCACAAGAGAAGACAAGGTTACTTTCCTGATACATCTGGAACTGAAAGATAAGCTTATGTACAAAACAATACTGGTGTTAGCCTCTTAATACAGACATTACATTAAACATATCTATGAACATGGTTCATGACCAACAATTGTTACCAGTTGTGAAAGGGCCTTCAGGAATGAAGAATGCTCCGACTGTAATTGCAGTGGCAGCAGCAAACTTGAAGAACCAAAACCTGCAGGGAAAGGAAAATATTAACACCATATAGAACATCTCTACAAATATTTCAGTCATATGCAAAAGTTTATATACCCCTGGTCTAAGTGGAAAAAAGTTAACACATCCTCAATAGGGGAAAAAAAATAAATATGACATTTTTCTGAAGATTTCAGTCCACAGTTTCTATTTGTTTAATGTATTAGACAAAAAAAAAAATTACATAACCTTTGTACATGCCATGTTTTATTTTTTCCAATATGTTGAATTCAGCTAATAAACAGTAATTGTGTATCAAAACATGCAGAAGTGTGTTCTCTGCAGAGGATGTGTTATTTTTTACTTAGACAATCAACATGACGTCGTTTGACCGGGGACAGCCAAACTTTTGCACACAGCTGCATATATTTGCAATATTTACTAGAAAAAATAGTGATCCATATTTTACAACATAATATATTTTCAAGCTACATAACAATATATATTAACGAACATCTCTTTTTGACTTAAACTTTAATTAATTACACTGCATTATTATACACAATAATTACATGTGACGCTGTGTAATCAAAATTTTTAAAACTTTGTATTACCAATTATTTTAAATAACACATTTATTACATAATATTTACAATTTCTTTTCACTCTATAACCAGTAATTTCAAACCTAGCTCAAGTGCTAATTTACCCGTTATGCACAGTAGCTCGTGGATCCTGGCTGCTCTTGACCTTGATCATGAGGAGAGAGAAAAGGAGGAAGAACATGGCCATGCCAAAGCAGACGCGGTACACAGCCTTGTAGCCTACCAGCACATCACAGTTCACGTGACCCTCCACACCTGGGATAGAGGAACCCATTCCTCCTTCGCAAAAGCCTGGAATCTGCAGCAAAACAAAACAACAACGATGGCTGGAAAGTTCTGGTTCATGTCCTCAACAATGATGATGCACAGAACATCTCAAACATGGCTTGATTAAAGCAGATGATAAAGGATTTAAGCTGTTTCAAAGAACAACAAGCACGTATGCAATGCCAATGATTCATAACATGAGGATAAAATATAAAAACACAGCTGCATACCTTCTTCAGCTGGCCTTCCATGCCAGGCATGAGCATAATGCAGGCAATGCCAACTCCCAGAAGCATGAAGAAGGCATAAATCAGCCGGGTGACGGTAGAGTTGTTTCCACTGGGGCAACATCTGCACAGCAGGCAGGGAGCACTGCCACAAAGGCAGGGAATCTATAGAGGGGGAAAGTTCAAGTTTTTATTTTAGAGCCAGTGGGTTAATGAACCGACTGTACAGTTGAACAGTAAACAAATACCTCTGCCTACCCAGCTGCCTCTCTCGCCACAGAACTTAATCTGACCAATACAGATAATGTAGCCCCTAAAACACTTTTTTATTCCGTTATTTATCTTAAGTTTATTATTCAGTAGTGTGTCAGGCTCCACACAACAGTTAAAGGACCCATTTCATAAAAAAATGTTCCTCAGAGTTTGCTGTAGTATGTAAACATTTTTTTAGGATAAACACTTAATCCACAGTTTGTACAGTCCATGTGTGGAAACTAAGCCTCAAATACAGCCTGTTTTAAGTTCACTGTTTTTTGTGAGGTCACAAAAATGAACATTTCCGTACATCTGCCTTTCATCATTCATCTTACAGCAATTTAGATCCGTCTATTCACACTGAAGTTATAAGAAGGGTTTCAGGCTAGAGGTGGGTGATATGGCTAAAATACTGTGATAATTTAAGAAATTTTTACGATGCACAGTATGTCTCAATATTTATTTTTTTTGACATCTGACCAGTTGCAAGTGAGAAAAAAGAACTAGTAGCACTATAATATAAAAAAATACTATCAGAAACTGTGAATACAATGATTTTTGTTCAGTATTTGGCATATTGTGTTGCACTAAATCTAGTTAAGTGGGACTAATTTTGCTCTCTTTACAATAAAACATGCAGCTGGTGTAATACAGGTGCTGATGAAATGCACGATATGTTCAAAAAAGCATACTGTACTGTGACATTTTATCACAATAACGATATGCGTTGTCATACTGCCCAGCCCTATTTTAGGCTGTACTGCACTGTATCACTGAATGAGGCACATTACAGGGCAGCTAATCAGAACAAAGCTCATTCACAGAGATCAGTCTTAAAGGGTAAATAACAAAAACAGCCTGTTTAAGGGATAAAGAAAGGCTGGAAAATGTGTACAAGGCATAATTCATTTTCACATGACCAATCATTATAAGAAAAATGTGAGATTTGGGCCCTTTAAATAAGCCAATACAGACCATTTAACACCTTAAAACTCTATTCTCATAATTCATCTTTTTATTATACGGCTTGTTATACCACAACTACTATAAAACTAATACTAACTAAACCATAAAGCTATAAAGCTAATATGCAGCCTGAACCCTACACATGGTCCCTAGTTTTATGGACTAAAAAATTCTAAATAAACCTGAACAAACCACTAAACAAATCATGATTCATGTATGAACTACAGAATCCAACTACAACTACTGTAGTTCATGTATGTACTACAGTATCAGATTTTTGCTGCGACTGCTTACTTCAGCCAAAATGATTTAGAGTGTGTATCTTTAAGCATCCTCAGATACAGGAACACTCAGTGACAAACACAGGATGTCTTGAAGGATAACCTAAATCTTCCAGGATTTATATAACCAACACATGTTGCCTCTCAGCTGGGCGCTTAGTTTAATTTAGACTTCAAATCCCTGCCGAAATAAGTGACAGTGGGTACATTCGGGATGTATGTTATTTACGTGATAAATCACAACACCACAAAGTCACAACTACAATTAAAATCTCACTGACATTATTATGATGTATTAAAGCAGATCTTGTATTAAAGAATCTTTCTGTAACCAAAACAATTGGAGATAGTAGAGCTGTGTAATGTAGTGTTCATTAGTTTCATTCATACTTTACATTAATACACTTTACAAAAATACTTTTAAGAAACTAAGAACAGAATTACTTTTATTCTATGTTTCACAGACTGTATTGCACCAAATGCAATACAACAGTACTAATTACATGCATTCAGTACTCTTTAAATACTCACTCTAAGTTCAGAAAAGCATACTGTGATGTAATGCATCACAATAATGGTACACACTGTCACACTACTCAGCCCAGTGTTTGTTTTAGCAACACTGCATGCTGATATCGACCCGATAACGATACCAGGTATAGGGTCAGTGCCATCTCTACTGTCAAATGGGCAAAATGGAAAACCATCAACAAATCATAAAATAAATTACGTAATTAGTATGGTACTGCTTTTCCCTTTGATTTCTTTAAATGTTGAAGTCTTGTAGCTAAATTTGCAGACAGCCTTTTACAGACAGAGTCAATGTTGTTCCACTCAGCATCGATGGTTTCAAATAGTTGAAAAGTACTGCAAAGCTAGTTTGTGTTTAATGTGAGACCAAATATTTTCTATAGGGTTTAAATCCTTATTTGCCTGGGAGTGTACAAATTAATCTAAACGAAAAAACTGCAGGGCAGTCTTTAAAGGGGAATTTCACCAATTTTTCAAAATTTCCGAATAATTCATTCCTTGAAATGCAAAAAGAGTAATCCAGAGTGGTTTGATGTGAAATGGTTTACTGTAGAGAATCCAGTGGTGGTGAGAGGAACCAGGGGTCACGATGTCTACAACACAAGTAATGTTATAGTTATTTTATTTACTATCTGGAACCACCAGTGAACCTACACTTTTAGAGGTGGACGCCTGGTTCCTGTCACCACCACTGTAAACAATTCTGACTCGGCAAATTTCTCCCGAACAGAGCATTTCACATCTGAATGACTTCATTTACATGTCAACCATTTAATTATGTACATTTTGGGTAAGACTGGCGCAGTTGCCCTTCGATATATCTGCACCTTCTGGTGCGGCCCAGAGGAGGACGGGTTTCGTTTCTGAGTTTTGTAGCTAACATATCAAGTAAACCTGGACTAAATAACCCTATATAGGTTAGCTAGGTTAACCTACTGCACTTCGGCGCAACATTAAAACGGAAGGATATTTTTGTCCATATCGTGTAGGCCTTGCTGTCTGTCCTGTTTACACTCGACACTTGATCTTATTTTGCTTTTCGTTATGGCGCAACAGCCTGAGGCTTAAGTTAGCCTCATATTCGCCATCATTTTGTTCGAATTTTCCATTCCACCTTAAATGGTGTAGCAGTTACACGGAGGCGCCGGTAGGTGCGAAGCGAAACTGCTGCGCCATTTAAGGTGGAACGGAAAATTCGAGCCAGAAGCGAAAGTCAGCTTCGTAGCTACGAGTGGCGCATTCACAATAACAAACCCGGCTGGCTAGGTTAACCATGGCATCCTGAATCTGTATCAACCAAAGAATCGGAGAAAGTTCAGAGCAAAGTCCACAGTTTCTGAAAAGATCGGTGGACCGTTTGTGTTTGTAGCTAAACCTTCAAGAATTTTAATCCGAGCTCAGGGTTACTAGTTAGCTAACCTAGCTAAGGCCTGCGGAAACACCCCAGCAAGCTGAATTAGCCACAAAAGCCTCTATCAGGGGGGTAATTTGGATCCTTGTTCAATATAATGGGCAAATTACGATTGTATTTTTATACATATACTGCTAACTGTCACGTCGAGTATTAGGTTACTAATTTTATTTTATATACAAGTCGTGGAAATAACGTTAACGTTAGCATGACTTGTTAAAATTTGACGACTGTCTCTTTTGTCAGGCTAACATCGCTGTTTCGGTTAATTTATTCATCCTGGATCTTAATAAAACCATAAAAAATATTAAAAACTTACCCAACTGGCCATAGAACAAAGCCCGAGAACCGACCCCATGTTCGCACTAATGCGGGGTTGGATTGTATGAGGAAATGTCTGAAGATGGACGCAGTGTGTTTACTAAGCAGGGCGAACTGTCTGGCACTGATGTGGGTTACGCTCCATTCCAAGTGATCGTGCTTGCGTCTTACACCCTATTCCCTACTTTTACCCCCTACTTTTTTCTTTTCTTCTCTCTACTCCACTGTTCCCTACTCTTCAGTCTGTACTCGCCGTTCCCGACCTCTAGAGACAGTAAACCTTATATTCACAGCACATATTAGAAATTTAGCCTACGCTCTTAAAAAAATCTGGTTCTTTAAGGGATCTTCAGTAAAGGGAATGACTCTAGTTAGAACCATGAGTCATACACTTTCAAAAAGATGGTTCTTCAAGGGTTCTTCAGTAAAGGGAATGGTTTTATTTAGAACTATGTGTTATACACTCTCAAATAAGATGGTTCTTCAAGGGTTTCTTTAATAAAAACAATGGCTATATATAGAACCATGAACACTCAGAGAACCATTTGTATGCTTAAAGGGTTTTTTGCATGGTGAAATGGTTCTTCAGACTGATGGAGAATGGGTTGTATATAGTTCTTTGTATATGGTTGTAGTATGTATATAGTTATTTTTTGGAAATGGTTCTATATAGCACAAAATGGTGTTCTCCTATTGTTACAAGCTTGACACCATAACAATAGCAGAATGGTTTTTGGTGCTATATAGAACTATATATAAGAACTGAACCTGATCAATCAGATCTGATTATAACAGCAGAAGACTTTTATTTACAACCCCCATTTCCAAAAAAGTTGGGATGCTGTTTAAACTCTTAAATAGCCAGGGTCCACTGCCAGGCAGTTTTATTACACACTTCTATAACCTAAGAATAGCTCAGGCAGTTTGCACTGTAGTCCCTGTAGTTACTGAATAATAAGACTTAGTATGTCATAAGCCTGGATTTTAAAGGCTCAAAATGTGTATAAAAACAGAATGTTCTGATGTGCAAATCATTGAAAACTTGTATTTAATTGAAAATAGTACAAAAACATTATATCAAATGTTGAAACTGAGAAATGTTATTGTTTTTTGAAAAACATATGCCTATTTTGAATTTGATGCCAGCAACACATCTAAAAAAAATTAGGAGCAAGTTTACCACTGTGCTGCATCGCCTCTGTGCTTTTAACCAATTGCTAGTTTTGCTGTAGTTTTGAAAGTGAAATTATACAGGATTTCAGCTGCTCAAGAGTTCAGGGTCTCCTTTGTCATATTTAGGTTTAGCACCCAGACTCTTTTACTATGGAGTAATTTACTGTTGTAATACATGCAGAATGTCATTGTCCTTGTCTTGCTGAAATAAGCAAGGTCTTCCCTGAAAAAGATGTCATCTGGATGGCAGCATATGTTGCTCCAAACATGTATATATCATTCAGCATTAATGGTGTCTTCACAGATGTGTAACTCACGCATGCTATGTGCACTAATGTACCCCCATACTATTAGAGATGCTGGCTTTTGAACTGTGCACTGATAACAAGCCAGATGTTCCCTCTCTAGCCCAGAGAATGTGGCGTCCTTGATTTCCAAAAAGAATTTCAAGTGTTGATTTTTCGGACCACAGGATACTTTCCACTTCGCCTCAGTTCATTTTAAATGAGCTCAGGCCCAGAGAAGGCGGCGGTGTTTCTGGATCCTGTTTATATATGGTTTCTTCTTTGCATTGTAGAGTTTTAACTTGCATTTGTGGATGCAGTGATGAACTGTGTTCACAGACAGTTTACAATTTTCAGAAGCGTTTCTGAGCCCATGCAGTGATTTCCACCACAGAATCGTGTCTGAAGATCACAGCCAGCTAATATTGGTTTTTGGCATTGTGCCTTGCATACAGAGATTTCTCCAGATCCTCTGAACCTTATAGTTATTTATTATGTACTGTAGATGATGAAATCCCCAAGTTCTTTGCTATTTTACGTTGTGAAACATTCTTCTTGAATTGTTGCACTATTTGCTCACACAGTTTTTCACAGAATGGTGAACCCCTCCCAATTTTACTTCTGAAAGAATCAATCTTTTTAATATGTTACCAACCTGCTGCCAAATAACTTAAATAGTTGTGAGATGTTCCACCAGGCATTTTTTTTAGCACTCCAGTCTTTTGTTGCACCTGTCTCAACTTTTTAAAAAAACAATAACACTTCTCAGTTTTACCATTTGATATGTTGTCTTTGTACTATTTTCAATTAAATATAGGGCACATCATTGCATTTTTTACACATCATTTACACTTTTTGAAAGTGATGTTGTACATTCTGGTGAGCAATGTTATGATGTCTTGGCTTATTTCTCATGTGAGATGATATCTGTTGATCTGTGAGTGTATACTTCCAAAATCACAAGAAAACCTTATTTCATACATGAAAACTATACAGGTTGACAACCATGCTATTCTATACTACTTATTTCCTAGTTTCTGCTGTTTACAAACTCCTAACTCCCTACCAAGGCTCCTCCTCCAACAGTCGAAGCCAAAGGAGCCACTATTCTGCCGTGAGATAGTTGCAAACTCATTCATACAAATACTGTACATACTATGGTATTTATAGTTTTAATGTCCATAAATATCATTACAGATAGTAGCAGTATGAAACACTTTTGGTAGCTTTTATAGGCACAGTATTAATACAGTTAAGTATAATAAGACTCATGACATGCTCACATATAACTAGGGCATAACTAGAAAAATCTGTTGAACTGTGAGTTATTGGCTGCAAATGTAGTAACAGTTGGTGTTGGAATATTCCATTTTATGTTTTTTAATATGTGTGTTATATATTTTAGGTGTATTTCTGGTCAGGGTATCATTGGTTCATTCATTTATTCAATTCAGTTGGACTGTTTTTCATTTATTTCCTTTTATTTCCCTTCAAAAGCAGAAAAAGGAAACAACCGTGTGTTTATTCAGTTTTCAAGTTCTCCAATGAATTGAATAAATGACTGAAACAATGATACATGGACCATTTCTGTGTGATGTAAATGAGTAAATCTGATCAAACCAAACTCTTTAAATGTCACTGATGCTTTGTTGACATAGTTAACAAGGAAGATTCAGTGTTTTGTGCTTTGCAGCAAACAATTTGGCATATGAATCAAATTATTCTGTTTATTTGAGTTAGTATACGCATTGTGGATCATTAAACAATTTACAAAAGCACACAATGCAGGCTTGACCAAAACAGTTCCTGCAGGCCAGAAGATAATGACCCATCTGGCACACCCACATGTTGGTGTTATTGTAGGATTTTAGCAGGTCAGCAGAGGGCAGCAGAGAGAAGAGTGTCAGATGCTCTGAAACCGAATCAATTCCCAGCACCACTGCTTCAAGTGAGTGACTGGGTGCGCTCCAATCCACATGCATGAGTACTAACTAGGAAGCTAAGCTCAGTGTGGCATTGCTAGTGTGATCCACTCTTTCAGTGTGTGATGTGACAGTTCAGTCCTGGGCAAACTTTCAGAAAGTTTTTTTCTTAACTTCATTCTTAAAAAAAAACACAAAAAATATTCTTTAAATAACTTCTTAAGAATTCTTTCATTTTTCCTCTTAATAATAATTCTAAGAACATGTGATATTCTTGAAAACATTAGGCTCTTAAATGTTTTCTTAACTTTATGACAGCCTCACACTTGTCTTAGGCTGTAAGAGCTGACAAGGTGAGCATCTAAATTTATCAAATATGGACACTGTCTCTGCTGCTCCTGGCCATCCTCATCTCTTGATTTCACTACACAATTATTATATTTTTTAAGAAGGATGTTTTTCCTGTTAGCTATTTCTTTCACCTTCACTTCTAGTTCTTGTTTGCTAAATTTTTTGTACACTTGGTGTGACATTTTTCTCTATTTTGCCGTCGTCTGAGTGGATTAAACTAAATAACAGAAATAACAGTTATTAGCAGTTCAGAATGCATCACTTGCGTCGCTTATGGTAAGCTGTAAAATGTAACACAGCCTACGTAAGAAAACAATGACAATATTCTTAAGAAAATCTTAAGGTAATAATAAAGATTATCTTACGAGAATATTGGAGAACTTCTTATGTTTTTTCAAGAATTGCATTTAGGAACATTATAATGAACTTCTTAGGGTTTGTCTCAAGAACCTTTGCAGGTTTTTTCTTAAGAAAGTATTTGTGAATCCGGCCCTAGAATTCCATTAACTGCAAATGAAGCTATTATATTTGTTTACAAACCAAAGTTACATGTTGACATGCTTCTGTGAGCTTTTGAAGTACTTCATTACAGTGTTTTGTAAAATAAATATGATAACATATATTATCGCTGTCGAATCTCCATTTTTGTTATTTCAACTTTTTTTTAACATAATTTAAATATGCTTGTTGCCCTTTACATTGCATGTAAGTTTCATGATGAATAAACCCAAAGAAATGGTCCGAAATTACTTGGATAAAGTCTGGATATGTTAAAAGTTAGTCTTGTCTTCTCCTGTAAAATTACAGTTTTGGAGATACGAGGTTTTGTTTCCAGGGATGATTATACAACTTGTTTACTTGTAACTTGTAAATTAGCTAAAGGCCAACAAGCTAACCAAGGATTGCGCTAATTATTGTCATTACTAGAGTGGACTAAAGGGCTTACCACTACACAAAATGGTTTTATCTGCATTGGTAGGTTTACATTAGTATACAGAACTTCCATTAAGCCAACCAATTGTTAGCTACATTCTGATGTGGGGTGCCATCATTTATCTGAGGGGCAGATCTAGGGGCGGGGCCACAGGGGCACTGGCCCCAGAAGAAATCTGATTGGCCCCTTAAGTGTCCCTCTCCAGACACTCGCCACCTCCAGTCACATCATTGACAAACTCGTTGCAATTCAGTAAAATTCCTGGATTTAATTGATGAATATGCTACTCATGCAAACTGTGTAGATTGAAAGAGTTTCAGGAGCTGCTGGATAATATTAACTTAGCTAAAGTTCAATAAATCAGTGCTTTAATTAGATTGCTAAATGAAACTTCCTCTGAGCAATAGAAGTTTTTTGAGCAGATGGTTTAATTTTCACAAATATATATCTTTCTTCGATAGCTTTAGAATGGTGG